GACATTATTCATTAAAACCCTTTACTTTGTTATTATTCACTGGGCTCTACCTCACTATATTATTAATGTATATAGGTGATCAAGCGCATGACCAGGCTTAGAGGCGTCTGCCTGGAATTTGTTTTTGTCAGCTAACCTATGTGCCTCCCGTGGAGGTTCTGGATATGTCAAGTGGTTTTGCCTATGTGATTTAAAGTTCAAGTTTTGTTTTTCTTGTTTGGTTAAACAAGGCTTTGTTTATTTTGTAGATAGGGCTAAGTCTTTTTTTTGTCTAATCTATATATGATGACGTAAGAATGATGTATAAATATGTATATGAAAAAAGTTTCAATTTTTTTTGTCTCATGTAGGTCTGCACAGTTCAATGGATGTTGTATATTTGTTATCTGCTTCCGTTCGCTCCTAATATCATGTCAATATGTCTAAGAGGCCTTCGGTAATCCCAGGATTGCTGGCCAGTTACGATGCTAAACCTATAGGGGCGGGTTTGGGTTGTGACAGATATGTTGATTTGTTAATTAGTTATTTTGTTTGTTTGTTTTTGTTTTTTGTTGATTAGTTATTTTGGTTGTTTGTTTTTGTTTTTTGTTGATTAGTTATTTTTGTTTGATAGAAAATAAGTAAAATTTTATTCTGGTACTATGTGCTCTGTTTTTGTTCAGGAGTAAAATTTTACTTTGATTCTATGTGCTCTGTTTTTTGTTTGAGAGTAAAATTTTACTCTGGTACCATGTGCTCTGTTTTTGTTTGATAAAATGAGAGTAAAATTTTATTATGATATGTGCTTTTTTTTTATTTGATAGAATGACAGTAAAATTTTACTCTAGTATTCTGTGTTTTTGTGATTTGTTTTTGGACTTGTACTGATAGTAAAATTTTACTTTGATTGACAGTAAATTTTTACTATAAACTGATTGCAAATTTGAAAAATGGCTCCAGCTCTTATGTTGTTATGCAAGTAGATCCAACATTACTGATGATGAAATGGATTTACTTCCTATGTTTTGTCGCCATGAAGAAAGGACTTTTGTTGTCTTCTGTATGGGTGAATGAAATTACTTGTGTAGGTCAAAGATTTGTTAGAGGTGTAAAGGATTTCCGAACTACATTATTTAAATATGCCATTGAGATATGATTTGAGTTTGTGTAGGTAAAGAATGACAAGTGTCAAGTCACTACTGTGCGTTCAATTAAAGACATTTTTATTATTGTTGAATAGTTGTCTATCCAAATTTATGATTTGCTTTGTGGTTGAATTTGACATTTTAATATATATATATATATATATATTTTCATGTGGTTGGATTAGTTTCATGTAAAGGAACTTATAATGGAGTTTGTTAACATGAAGATTTTGAGTAAAATTCTAATCTTAAAAATAGTAAACATTACTTTTCTTAACATGAAAGTAAAATTTTACTCTCATTCAGAGTAAAATTTTACTATGTTAGAGTTTGTTTAATAGGAGTGAAATTCTAGTCTAAAAGATAGTAAAACATTAGTTTTTTTTTTTTAACATGAAAGTAAAATTTTACTTTATTTCAGAGTAAAATTTTACTATGTTGTTGAATGTTTGTCTATGCAATTTCTAATTTGTTTTCTGCATTAAAGGTAAAAATTCACTCTATTACAGAATAAAATTTTACTTTAAAGTATGTGTGTCTTATAAGAAAACATTTCCAACAAGCACCAAAATTTACAACAATACACAAAGTCCCTGCTTCTCATAACGCAATCTTTGTACAAAAATAACATAACACTACAACTACATATATTATCAAGAGACACAAAATATAAATTGTATCATTGTATTCTATCCATAACAATGTTCTATAACAATATTCCATTCTAATCCATAACAAGTATAACCTGTATCATTGTTACTCTTTTGGCATTCTTTCACCTACAATTACTCTTTCAATATTCTTTCATTTACAAAAAAACAAAATTACATTCACATTCACATCATATACAAAAAAGTAGTTCTCAAAAGTCATCTACATCGTCGTCCTTGAGGTCTTATTACTTGGCTATTTTTCTTTTGAGGTTGAACTGTTCCTCACCCCATGCTTTTGAAGAATCATTAAAAAATTAATGCACTATTGATGCTTGAAAATTGTTAATTTCATCATCTTTCATAGACTTTGCAATAGGCTCATCTCTTATGATCTAATGCATGATATAACATACAATAATTTCGCAATCAACACTGTTCATAGAAATCAAAATCTTGTTAGATTTACTCAAATTTGATTTCAACAAAGTCATAAAGTTTACCGTTTCTAACATACAAACAAAGAATATTCATGAGGCCAAAGAAAAAAAAAAGTAGGGAAAATGCACAAACATTGTAATGAAACAGTAAATTTTATTGTGAAAGTAAAATTTTACCCTGATTAATTAGCATTTTGTTTGTAACATAAGTCAATAAAGCATCTACACTATCACTTACTTTCGAAATTAAGGCAATTAAATCACATAAAAGCAACAAGAAAAGCAAAATCAAAATCAATCAAACACACCAAATTGCATCAAAATCGACCATTTCAGGTCAAAAGCAACAAAAAACGGGAATGAATATCGAACAAACTTGCATTATAATCTATACATTGTAATAATAATAAAAATATCTATTATTACCAACACAAAACAGAGATAAAATCCACTCATCTGACATTTAAGCAAATTAAAACATCACAATGCCAAAAAAAGGCATACACAGAGCATAAGAGAACAAACTTTATTTTTCAGTAACCAAAGTAAAATTTTACTGTTACGAAAACAAAGTATATACTAGATAAAGGAATTATAGTCAAATTTTACTTTAGATCTATGAACAAACAAACAAAAAACTCTTAATTTTTCATTGTAATATATCAATTTATCACTTTTTTGGACATATATGAGGCCATTTTATCTCAGATCTGAAGTTATTGATCTCAAACATGGGTTCATAGGCATCAAATTTGAGATGGTGATTGTTGACAATAAAAATGGTGGTCGCCGACCAACGTTGAGGATGAGCGATCAAGAAAGAAAGTCATAAGAGAAAGAGAGCTTCTTTGACTTGTGATGGTTGATTCAGAAGTAACGATCAGTAGGAGATGATGACATCGTTCAATAATTTCGAAACATTCGACAATGGCACTTAAAAATCTCTCATTATGCTTCAATTGACAATTTTTGAATGAGGGTTTTCGAATCAAGAGTTTTTAACTTGATAGTTTTCAAACGAAAAAAAAGAATAAGAGAGACAAACAGTTCAACTGCTTACTATTACCCATATATATGGAAGGGTAATCTTGTCTTTTCAACTTATTTTTTAATTTTGAGAAGTTCTAACAGCATTAATTTATTTTATATCCTTTACACAAGAAAGGTCCAATAGGAGGGGGTTCTCACCAAAAAACCCAAGAAATAATAGTACAATGTTTAAAAAACACTAAAAACTAAAAGGTGGATTTGTTTGGATAGACTGGATAAGGGGGAATTGTAATCCGTCGGCATGTTAGTCTTGGGATACATTGTTTCCGGACTATTTGGTTGAACTGGATTTGCATCCTATGTTTGTTTAGTCATGTGATTTGATATTTGGATTGGACTATTTTTAGTGAATCCAATATTTGGTTGGACGGACTAGATAATGATAAATGTTCAAAAGACTATTTTACCCTTATAATTTATAATTTTTATTTAATATAAAATTTTAAATTTGTAATATATAATTTTCAATTAACAACACTAAAAAAATTATAAGGCCATAATTTTTAATTTATTATTTTTAATTAAATTAAATTTATAATTTATATTTTTTATTTGATATATAATTTTAAATTAACAACACTAAAAAAATAATTTATAAATGTTCAAAAGACCATTTTACCATTTTCCAATTGCGTACTAAGTAATAGTATGAGGGTAAAATGAACATTTTACACATTAGTCCTATGAGATACCAATCTTATGGAAATAATCCCACCCCCTAAGATTGTTTAGTCCCTCATATGAAGAATATAGAGTCCAGCCGAATTCAATGTCCGACAGACTAAAATTGTACCAAACGATGGACATTTCCCTCAATTGGATAAGCAATCCGAACAGTAAATAATCCCCTTCTCTTGAATCAAATACGCCCATAGTGTACCCTTAATTAGATCATTTTCTTATTTAATTATAATCAATTTTTTTATTTAATTATGATATTATTTTAGTTATGACTCATAAATTTTTAACTAATACTTTATGTATGTGTTTGATTATGATCTTATGATATTTTTTTTTTATTTTTTTTAGTTGGCCCTCCGTATGAAAGTATGGGACAATTTGAATATCCCAATTGAGGATAGTGATTCCCTAGATTTAGACATTCAATTTAAAAATCTATAAACAAATAAAGAATGTTGATCCGGATCCAAACCTAGTAAAAAAAATTTAAAAAAAAATGGAACCCAGTTTGGTAGCATATAAGCCTACCAAACTTTAAATAATATTAAGATTAAAATGCACGAATCCCATTTTTTTTTAATATAAAAATTAAAAAATAAAAATAGAAATAAAAGAAGAAGAAGAAAAATAAAAATAAAAGCCTATAAGTAAAGAGATGATTACCACTATGTGAAAAGGTGAAAGGAAGTAGATAACCTGGAATATAATAAAAACTGCAACCTTATCCAACATACAAAGATGTTTGAACAGATAGGAACATCTCAAACGTGCGCGGCGCGCACACACACACACATAAATCACAGTTTCTGCAGTAGAAACTACGACAAACAATGTTACTTTTATTGCTTTGCAAAATGAACTCAAATCAATGTTATTTATTGCTTTCCACCTTCTGCTTAGCAATTATAGCATTTTATTGATTTGCAAAATGAACTCAAATCAATGTTATTTTTCTTATAAAAAACTACAGGCTAATAATATGAAAAAGAACAATCATCTTCCCAATACAGATTTCCAAATGTATAAATTCAAGAACGCACTTGGACCGACAAAATCATAGATTGCAGATGAATTCAAATCCAAATTCCGATCAGATAAAACCTTTACAAACAAAAGATTGAGTCTTGAAGAACAAATTGCAAATATATAAATTAGGTAAATTAGTAAAGGGTTCAAACAAAAAGTAAAATGGAAAGATCATACACAATAAATTTGTGATTGTCTAGAGGAATCGGAGGCCCCTATTTGAACCTGTAGCTGCAAAAAATCTCGGCTGCAGGGTAAAGATGAATGCATATAAGCTAAAGATCTTACAATAAATATATCATTTCAATACCCATATTACATTATTCAACAAATCCACAATTACTTTTCATCTCGAAAATCCCAATTCACATTTAACTAAAACTAAGCAGGTACAAAATCTTCAAAAATCAATTTCTTATTAAAAAAAAAATGGAAAAACATATCTCAACAAAGGTAGCAAAACCCTAATCGTGTCAATCAGTAATCGATGTCAAACCAATGTAAGAAACTATACAGTGAATAAAATTGATAATCAAAACAACAAAATTAAATAAATAAATAAATTCAAGAACGCCATTTTGACTGACAAAATCATAGATTGCAGATGAATTCAAATCCAAATTCCAATCAGATAGAACCTTTACAAAAAATGATCAGAGGTTAATCAAAGAAAAACAATAAGGTTTTTTAGTTCTTAATAGTAATCCTATAAAAGAATAAAAATATTATAATAACAGGTATAGTGAGCTAAAACTTTGTGTAAGTAGAATTTTCTTTTCATTTTATTAGGTAGTTAAAAAAATGTTTTAACTTTTTGTGTTCATAGAATTACACTGCCTTCGTGCTTGTTGTTGACTTGAATTGGCAAGGAGTCAGTTACAGTAAATTGGCAAGGAGTTGGTTACATTGTACTGTAACTCTTCATCCATCTATGACATTATTTATATTTGTGGTATATGACTGTAGTTGGGAGGCTTTAAATGCATCCTAAACTTTTAATTGCATTTAGAGCCTGCCCTTATAATTGTATGCATACCTAGGATAAATGACAAATATATCAAGTAATTCATGGTTTCATATATTGATTTTTGGGAAATTTAAAAAAGAAAAAAAAAACTTCAAAATCTTGACCTCGGTAACAAATCAATCCTAACTTGAAATTATTTTAATTCTAACCATTCATTTCTATGGGCCATTTAAACAGTCTAACAATTTTTTTCCCTTTATTTTGGTGTTGACAGTCATTTGCTACCCTTACCATGATCCATCACTACCCCCATCTATTTTCCCCATCTACCACTACTCCTCATTTTCCTCACAAATGGGCATCAAAACGTCTATTTCTCTAATCCCAATAAAAAACAATGGTCACCACCACAGACATCAATTTCATATGGTACTGTCAAAATTTCACAGGTCATGTATCTCACCAACTTAAGGTACGACTCTACAAACCCATATCAGGTAACCTGTCCTCATTTCATTTCCAACAGTTGGAGCCTTAGGATTATTGTTTGGTAATCGATATTCATGCATAATCCAGTTGGTTTTTTTGCCTTTGGGAGGAATTCCTTTGTAGAATACTAATGCGGTTCTAAAGCCAACAGCGGCACCCATAAATCTCACAGTCTTATTAGTACCGGTAACCTTCCAGTATCCATCACCTGCAGCTCGATTTGGCCGCTTCCCATTCTTATACTTTCGATCTCTTGGTGTAAAGAAATACCATTCCTTCTCTTCATATGGCTTGTAATTTTCTGTTAATTAACACCAGACATAATATAAATAAAACTCATTGAACATGTTAGACTATTAGCCGGCCCTCATTCCTTAAAACTTCATCGAATGTTAGAATATACAATTCATAGACCAAAGAACGAATATGCATACATCAAAGGAAGAAATAAAAAGAAATCAGAATGAGCTAAATTTCAATATGAGTAACAAAACTAATGCAATATTGGGACAATCATAGCAGCCAACATGATCTTGTTAATAGCCGATCAAAAAAACATGATCTTGTAAAAAATATACTCACAAAGATAATATATATAAAAAATGTGTACAATCCAGATTCTTTGTAAAAAATCTATATATAAATAAAAAAATCTATACAATGTATATCCAAATAAAATCTATACAATCTATATCCAAATTCTTTATAAAAAATATATAGAATCTATAAAAAAATATCTATACAATCTATATCCAAATAAAATGTATACAATCTATAAACAAATAAAATCTAGCACAGTCACCACATAACATGAAAAGAGTGATCTTACTTGGAGAGCAGCAGTTTCGGGAGCGAGGGTATGGAAGAAGAAGAACAGGGCTGGAGAGCAGTAGAGGGAAAATCTGAAAAGAAATTGAAAATATTACAACTTCACATACCATAGGCGCAAACATTTCAAAGCAAACTAAAAGTTCAACACATCTCCTGAAACTAAAAAAATATAAGAAGTTTGAGATTCAAAGCAAACATTTCTCTCATAATCCATTAAGGTAACCCGTGCCTAAAGGCACGGAGGAAATAAAGTTCAACACACCTCTGAAACAGGGCCATGCTATACTTAGGTGAATTGTTTTGCCTAAAAAGTGGGAAAAAATTGAACAACTAATTAATTTAAGGATAAATTACAAATACATCTACTGAAATTTGCTTAAAATGCGAATTATCTCCTGTGGTTTAGAAAATTACAAATACCTCCCTGTCAGATTTTTTTATTTAAAAAAATTAATTGAAAAAGTGAAATTTCTAACTGTTCATTTATACCATAATAAAATTATCTGAATTATTAATTAAAATAAAATTTTAACATTATTAAAAACTGTTAATTAACTTGAAGATTTATTAATAAAATGACCTATTTTTAATGAAATTAGAAACCTTAGGAGGGCATAATGTAATTTCTAAAACTATAGAGAGTAATTTATAATTTGAGTAAACCTCAGCGGTGTGTTTGTAATTTACCCTTAATGTACTCAGGGGTGTGTGTGTTTGTAAACCTCAAAATTATTTGGCAACTGGTAATTTATTTAATGTACTCAGAATAACATTATTAAAATGTAAGAAGCATCCTGCTTGAAGAACAGATTTTGAAGGGAAAAAAAAAAAGCATCTATGTTTGAAGAACAGATTTTGAAAGAAAAATATATATATATATATATATGCACAATAGATTTTGAAAAAAAAATAAAAATAAATATTAGAACATCCTTGTTTGAGGGATAATAACAAATTCTCTGGTTTGTTTTGCCCAAAAAGCGGGAAAATACTTGAACAACAAAATAATTTAACAAAAAATGTATATTAATTTTAATATTTTGTGAAACTGTTAATTTATAACACAATTGTTAATTTTGTACTCATAACACAATTGTTAATTTATATTTTGTACTCATAAGAAATTTATTACATTGTAAGAAGCATCTATGTTTGAAGAACAGATTTTGAAAGAAAAATATATATATATATATATATGCACAATAGATTTTGAAAAAAAAATAAAAATAAATATTAGAACATCCTTGTTTGAGGGATAATAACAAATTCTCTGGTTTGTTTTGCCCAAAAAGCGGGAAAATACTTGAACAACAAAATAATTTAACAAAAAATGTATATTAATTTTAATATTTTGTGAAACTGTTAATTTATAACACAATTGTTAATTTTGTACTCATAACACAATTGTTAATTTATATTTTGTACTCATAACAAAATTATTAACTTGTAAGAAGTATCCATGTTTGAAAAACAGATTTTCAAGAACAGATTTTGAAAAAAAAAAATTAAAATTTTATAAATGCACAACAGATTTTGAACAAATATATATATCTACCACTCGCTTGTTTGAAGTATCCATGTTTGAAAAATAGGTCTGGTCAAAGCTACCACTCGCTTGTAGCATAAAGAGCACAATTTAAAAATCAAATAAGCTTGAAATGCTAACCTCAAGAGACCATCTTGTACTTATGGGCATTCCAGCCAAATTTACAACAGCATTTGAACCTTGAATACAGTCTTTCCACTCTAGCTTCTCTGCAATCACAATTCCTGGAAAGTCCCTGACTATAATTGCAAGGACAACAAAGAAGGAAATGATGAGAATCAAGCAATAATTCTAGCTATGAGAAGAAATACAAACACCAAAAAAAAACTTAGTTATTGTGTTAACACAAAAAATAACAGTTTTAAAACTTTAAAAATAAATAAAAGAAAGTCTTTATGTGGTGGAACTTGAGAAATAACACACTACAATGCAAGATAAATGAGACCAAATGTACTCTGCCTACAGCAAATCTGATTATCATTTTGTCAGAAGGCAAAATCTGATTATCACAATGTACTGAGCACCTATTCCTAATCTTCTGCCGGTTTTATCATAACATGAGCATCAAACTAAGAATGTTCTTGAGCCTCAAAATGATGCTTCTTCTTATGATGGCTTTTTGAGATTGATGCCATTGATGCCATTCAAATAATGGGATAAATTGCGTTGCTCTGATCTTGATTTGTTTGAATAGTAACACTTTCTTTACATGCCAGAAGAGATCCTCTTACCCAAGAAGAAATGGAGGTTGTGAAAGATGCAACAACTGAGAGTTGAGTTTATTTATGAGTTTAAATTTAATCAGGCATATAAGTTTAATTATAATTTTATTATCAGTATTGTTAATTTAGAATGTATTTATTAATTTTGCTCATCTATGTATGAGGCTCGAGTGTATTGAATTATTGGAGCTTATTGGCATAATTTGGAAATAATTGAGTTTCCTTGGCTAGCTCTCTCAGAAGATTCTCTCACTCCATTTACGCTTGCCATTCGCCTCTACTCTTCCCCTCTTCTCCTTCTACTTCAACTTTTTTCTCTCTTCTCTTCTCTCCTCTTTGTTATCTCAGTTCATCTATTAACTTCTCTTTCTCTTCTTCTCTCTTCTTCCCCTTCTCAATTCATCTAAAACTGTGTCATTACCAAAATTTAAGAAACAGCTTTAAGCAATATCTCATCCAGGTACTTCATTAAACCCATCTCAAACCAAGCTTAAAAGAGAAACCTTAAGTTTGCAGCTATTATACAGAATTACCAGTGAGTTGCACACAGTTGCCCACAAAATTTATAACATTAAAGAATATAAAGATGCCCATTAATCTAAAAGTAAATATAAATAAAAACACATTTCCAACAAATGCACAATGAAAAACATAAACTGAGCACATTTCCACTATATCACTAATGTCATATACTAACATCTTGTAAGGATTTATGCAGACAAATGTAATCATTACCTTCTTACCCGGAAAAATTACTTGAGCTAGGAATTACTTGAAGAATTAGGTCCCAGACCTTAGGCCGTAAAACCGCCGGAATTCCTTTCCTTATGAGATTCTTGAGCGTAATTGCATTTGCTAAAGCTGAAAATCTAAGGGAAGATTTAAGGGTAGAAGAAACATGAGTCTGCAAATACCAAGTTCAGGTAAATCTTGAAATTTATACTCTTAAACATTGATTTCAATGACATATTTGGTTATAAATTTCTTGTAGTTGTCTCTAATTTTTATTTTTTGTTTCAGAATTTAAAGAAGGAGCATGCAGCTTTATGCAATGAAGTGAACGACATCAATTAGATGTTCAAACATAAACAGCAGTGGAGAATCTCATTTCCAATAACCCTGTGGGAGAATAAAATGCATAGCCACTACAAATTAAATTTGCTCACCTTCAATTTGTAGAATTTGGGAGAGCTGTGTCTCTACTAGCGACCAGAGCGTCGAACAAATTTTAAACTCTACAACAACACATTTCAATTTCAATTTTATTTTTTTTCCCCTTACAAAAAACCCTAAAAAAAAAAAAAGTGAACAGTTGTTGGTGTCGCAATGGCGGGGGTCGTTGCAAGGAGAGGTGGTCGGTGGTCGCAATGGGTATGGGAGAGAGAGTAGCGTATGAAAGTATGAAAGAGATAGGAGCAATAGAGGAAAGTTTTGAGGGGAGAGATAGAGAGAGAGGGAAAAGGTTCTGTTCAAGAAGAAGAATAGGGGGGGAAAGATAGAGAGAGAGAGAGAAAAGAGGGAATGGGGAAGGAGACGTGGGTAGGTGGAAGGCTGAGGGGAACAAATGTTTGGACGGGAAAGCAAGTCATCTCAACCATTGATCTTTATCAAAATTGATCTGAGCCTTTGAACCTAAATGTATCTCACATACATTTTATACATAATTAAGTCCATCAATTGCTTTATCTGGCATAATTACGTCCCCAGACAAATTCCAAAACAGTCAATCAAATGTTCAAAATCCACCCAACAAAACTAAAGATGAACATTGATATGGGGATAAAACAACGACAATAGAAAAAAGAGGACAGTAGTTTTGAAATGTACGCTCAACTCCTCAATCCTGATATGTTGCCAAGCCATTACTTCTCTAATCCTCCTTTAGTTGACCTTCAGTTAAGGTCCTCATCCCATTTACATCATTCTGCTAAGGTCCTCATCCCATTTATAATCCTCTTCCTCTTCTCCATTTACCAATGTAGAATCTACTAAGAGAATGAACACCACTGATTTTTTGTCATAGAACATAAGGCCACGAAGTTTTAGACAAAAAGCCACTAAAAAAGCCAATTCCCAAATGAACCCTAAGTTAACTGATTTTTTTTTTTCAATTAGAAGATTGGTGAAATCATGTTGAAATAACCAATGTCACATTTGATTATGGTTGTTCTGTAAACTAAAATAATAATAAAAAAAGCTGCTAATTATGGAAACCACATATTAGTCTGTCACGAAGGCTTTTTATTTCACTCTTTTGACCACCTATTTTCTCCATCTAATAGTTATTTTATGTTCCACATTGACACAGACAACCTTCAGAAGTCATAACAGCTTACCTGAAAACAATTGGGGCGGAAGAGTTAGTGACCAAAGACGGCCTCCATAATTGTGTCAAAATACAAAAAATTTGATACATAAAAACCAGACGTCCCACTTCCATCTGTATACTGAAATGAATAACCGCACTGATTACTCTGAGCAGAGCATTTAGCAGGCAGGATCAAAGAAATTGAGCTTTATCTGCACACACTTAGACATTTTATTAAGAGAATTGTCTCAGCCAACCCATCAACAAAACTACTCCTATTAAGTCTTAAAACTCAAAACCCAATAAAAATTATCTTTTTTCTGGCAATAATTTGAAACACATACATAAACACAATTACAAACTAATCGAAACCCAAAATGGAATTGAACCCAAAACCGAAATGGTATTTTCGGAGAATGATTTCTGGTGGCTGAGCGTAAATCTAGGGTTTGAGAGAGAGGGAGTGAGGAGAGGAGCAAACAGAGGAGCGAACTTGGTGAGCCAATCGAAGCACAATCGGATAAAAAACTCAAATGTGGAAAAAAAGGGGAAACAAACACATATTACAAACTTGATTTAGAGCAATCCAAATACCTAAAAAAACCCTAATTAACAAATCAATTTAAGGTTTAGAAAAACAAAAATCAAAATCAAAATGAGTACTCTGTTATATGATCAAAGCCCCAACTCTTCTGGATATATGATTAAAGCCACAAAACTATACTGAAATCGTTTTGGGTTGTAAGGGAATCTTACCTTGCGATGAAGAGGAGCGTGACGAATGAGGAGGAGGAGGAGGAGCGTCGGTAGCGAAGAGGGTGGGGGTCGATGAAGAGAATTGAAATCGAACGGTTGATGAAGAGGAGCGTGACGAAGGAGGAGCGTCGGTAGCGAAGAGGGTGGGGGTTTTTTGCTTCTGTCGAAGAAGAACAGAGAGTGAAAGAGAGAGAGATAGAGAGAGGGAAGGTGGGGAGGATGTGGTCAGACGTGCGTGCGTGAATGAATCAATCATCATTCGTTTGAACCAATCTGAACCATCGATGTAAGCTTAAGAATCATCTCAACCGTTAAATTGAAATGTATCTCACATACATTTTCACACATTTTCAAAAACTCTCTTCCTTTATTATATAGATTACTTATAATTTTATTTTTATTTTTATTTTTATTTTAATGCTAGGATGTTTGGCATAATTATAGGGGAAATATCACTTTAAAAATATATTTAAATAAGTGATATTCAATATAAACATTAAGATGTGAAGTTATACTATTTTCGTGATTTTGTAATTTGTTTCTAAAAATACCGTTGAGAAGTATTTTTTTCCTAATTTATACTTATAACTTCTAAGGTAAAAATAAATCGAATAAAATGAAAAATATTAATTATTAGAGAAAATTGGTAATAAATCCAATTTAGATGGTGTCTAAGGCATTAGGTTCAGTATATTTTTTTTAGGGTTGGGCTTCCCTCCTGTCCGTGATCGGACTGGAGGGTACCGTTGGGCCCGTGGGCAGTGGCAGAGCCACATGGGGCTAGGGGGTCATGTGCCCCCCTGAATTTTTCTTCTTCTTTTTTTTTTAATAATTTTTTATAAAAAAAATGTATATAAATAAAATTTTAAACAAAAATAATATTTAGAATAAAATGCTAAAGGCATTTTTAAATTTATGAAAACAATAGTGATTGTTTCATTGAAAATGAAGTGACTACAACAAATTATATTTTTATGTATGAAAGTTTTGTGAAAAAATCTTAATATAAAGGTAATATCTATCATTATTGATATGCAAATATAATTAATCTCAATATATATGTGTAAAAATTGGAAATGGGTAGGAGTAGCACCGATAGAAGATAAGTTGAGAGAGAATCGTTTGAGATGGTTTGGTCATATTCAACGGAGACCAACAGAGGCAGTAGTGAAGAGATGCGATGCTGTAACGGTAGATGGAAGTGTTAGGGGACGGGGTAGGCCTAGATTAACGTTGACTAGCGTTATAAATAGAGATATGAATCTACTTAATTTGATTAATGAAATGGCCTTTGATAGGGCCGCGTGGAGAAGAATGATTCATGTAGCCGACCCCATTTGATGGGACTTAAGGCTTGGTTTGGTTTGGTTTGGTTATATATGTGTAAAAATTACTAGAGTGTTAATTATATTTGCATGTGGAGTTTACCCTTCATTTGTTGCGTTGCTATCGGTT